AAAAAGTATTTTGTATCCTATATTATTAAAATTGCGTACAGAATTTGATGTATCTGATATCGAGGTTAACGCATTAGGTAACGAAAATTCCGAATTACATGAAATTTTGTAATATATATATATATATATATGCCAATTAATCTAAATAATTATTATTATAAATAAAAATTAGCTTCAGTTTATCTGTATGTTATGGGAATTGCGGTAAGTAATCATAATCATAATCATTATTAATTTGCATTTTAATCATTCTAATCGTTCTAATCATCAATGATTAGCCACTTGGATGGGCTGCATATTCTGATAGATTTTCGTCGAGAATAAGAGTCTATTTCATAACTATATTTATATTTATTCTGTCAAGTATAATGTGTGCTGTTGTTCCATCAAATCTCTGGTTCTTATTGCTAGGCCGTGGTTTACAATCACTTGGCTCTTCTGCTATGTTATCAATAGGAGCTGGTGTTATTAGTGATGTTTACAATGCTCTCGGTAACATGGTCATTACATTTATTGATATTTTTTTTAATAAAACATAAAATACATATGTATTTATATATAATCATTTTCTTCCTTTCCTACCCCCACCTCAAAAATTAAAAGAACGCGGAACTGCATATGGATTTTTTTATATGGCTTATTGGGTTGGTCAATTACTTGGTCCTATGATAGGAAGCTACATTGCTGAGTATACTAGTTGGAGATGGATTTTTTGGTTTTTAACAATTTTGGGTGGAGTAAATTTATTACTTGTGATAATCTTTCTTCCTGAAACATCCAATCCTCCAAATCCCACATCTGACGATTCTAATGAGAATGCTCAATCAAAATGTCGATTTAATCCACTTACACCGCTTAAATTGTTACGTTATCCAAACGGAACTTTGGTGATCATTTACATTTGCATTATGTCATCAATAACTCAACTTCAATTTATTAGTGTACCTGTCAACTTCGCCACCAGATATCATCTAACTTCATCACAAATCGGTTCATTATTCTTTGTATCTGGTTTTGGATTCATGATTGGCAGTTATATTGGTGGTAAATCTTCAGATATTGTGATGAGACGAGCAAACAAGAAAAATGGGACTGCTCATCCAGAAGCGAGAATTCATAGTGTTTGGATTAGTGCTGTATTATTACCAACTTGTTGTTTGATTTATGGTTTGTTGGTTGAAAAAGAAGTTCACATGGCTGGTCCATTGATTGCTTGGTTTTTTAGTATGTTTTATATGTATATTATATACTTGTGTTATTTATTTTATGTTAGAGATTATAATTACTAATCACATACATATTATATGTATTATATATAGTGTCATTAACCACTCAAGTAATTTATAATTCAATGTCAACCTATTTGGTTGACGTTTTCTCAAGCCAAAGTGCATCAATAATAGCATTAAGCAATTGTATACGCATGATGGCAGCTGGCACTTTATCGATTTTAGCATCTCCAATGGAAAATAAATTGGGAACTGGATGGGCGTTTGCTCTCTTGAGTGGAATATGTTATGCCAGTATTTTAATCTTAGTGTTGGTTTACATTAAAGGAAGAAGTTGGCGAGAACGATTTAAATTTTAAAAAATCAATTCATTTGTAATTAATTAATTTAATATGCAATAGATGTTTGTAATATAGATTTTAAAAATAGAAAATTCATCATATATATATACTAATACACACACACACACACACATTAATTTTTTTTTGTTGTCAGAAAATCTTTGTGGCTTTACTAAAAAACAATCCGACTCATTTTAAATAAATTTAAACAAAGCTTGGCTTTTTAAAGTTATTTAAATCATTTTCCTAATTTTAAAAATGCACAACAGGACTTTTTTTTTTTGCAATTACATTCATTAATAGAATAATCTACATTACACGACAAACGCCATATTACTAACATTCTATTCTCAAATATCTATTCAATATTAATAAGTTGAACGAAATAGTTGGAAAAAGCGGGTTAGAGGCTGAAATCATGTGGTATACTACAATTTATCTACTGGTAGCCAGTTATCAAATAATGAAATAAAAAGTCAAGGTCTGGAACAATTTATTATTAAAAAAACAGAGAGATCTAATTCTTGATTTATTTTTAATTAGTTTAATTTGCTCAAAAAATCAAACAGTTGGTTTATAATTAAAACCAACAGTGAAGCATTTCATATTCAATAGAAAGTTCTGCTCTTAACCTATCGAATGAGTTATATATTTTTCATATGAATGGATGCAGTGGTTGTTCCACGATGGTTGACTCATACTGTATAATTTAATTCATTTTGATCATTGTTATTGTTGTTATTATCATTATCATAATCAATTATTATCGAGTTGAATACGAAAATGGTTTCAAGGGTCTTCGACACAGTAAGATTTTTTTATCAAAATTTATCAAATCATCATTGTTTCAATTCATTCCTTCTTTTCTCTACATATTTACAAATCGCAATCGCATAATCTATTGATACTTGTCAGTTATATAAAATAAATATATAATACACGTTTCCTTCTCCCCGAATGAGCAAGGGCATATCTTATCTAAATATCAACATACATGCCAAAAATTTCTAATAGTTATTTAAAAAATTTTTATGCATCCAATATTGACAGTTAACAGTAATTTCAACAATGAATAATATTCATTGAATATTCAGCGAGTATTGGTTAATCAGATATTTGATTTTTCATTGAGATTGATTGACATTGACCAAATATAATAAATTGAAAGAGAATATTCAGTGAATGAATTGGCATATCCAGATGGATTTTGGGGTTGTGTTCTTTATTATTTGATCAAAGAATAAGAGGGTAATATATATTCCTGGGAATAAATCCAGGGGTATTCAGGGGTATGCGATGCACCACCCTTACGAATAATATTAATATATCAAAGTATAGTTGGCTCGGTCAGAAGACCAGAGGCAGCAAATGATCTTCAAGTATTTTTATGTACCCTAAGCTATTTAAATTGCCATCTACTTTCACCAATGGACCTAGACCTTTTCAATACACCAATTTAATCAATTTGTTCTTTGTTTATTGTTTAGTAGTGGCTTTGCCGTAGGAACGCGAGAAAAAACATTTAATTCGTGTAAAGTCCTTCTAATTGTCTTAGTTGAAACATTGATACTTGTTTTTTCATTAAATTTGTTTTTAATTTGTTCAGCAGATTTTTGATTGTTTGGCTTTACAAGTTTTTTCAGTATTTTTTTATTTTCATCATTGATTAATTTAGGATGGCCACTTCGATTTTTTGTAATGAGACCTTTTCTATCAATGTAATTTTAGTTATTTGTGGTTTGGTACATTATTTTTATATAGACAGATGATTTCACCACGTTGACTTTCACTTAAGGGTGACATTTTGAGTTTAAAATGTTTAAAAGGAATTGTTCAAAATGAAATTATGTGAATTTGCAATTCACATATGTGAAATTCAAATTTACATGTGTGAAATTCAAATTAGCCAATCAGAATTTCACCCCACTCCATAATATTTCAATTTCACATAATTTCATTTTCACGTACAACAGTAACAAAGATAATTTTTTTTGGATTCAGGATTTTTTAAGATGATTTGGTTCTGTGTAAATAGTAGATAAGAGGCTTTCTCAAATCTTAGATTGATTGGTTTTTTTTCTTCCCCATTATTTAGCACAGTAGAAATCTCAGAAATTAAAGAAATTTCATTTTATCTAAAAAAAGAAGACTGGAAGTTTTCTCTTGATATTTGCAAAATGTGTAAAGTCATTGTTCTCATAACAGTGCTAATTGAAATTTCCAAGGAGGTTCGACTGTTTTTAAAAAAAATTTTTCTTCCGATATTTTCTATATAAAAATAATTTTTTTGTTTTTAAACATTAATGTGCTTTTTGTACAGTCACACGACGTAAACCGGTTTTCGTAAATATGTGACACCAAAATAATTTTCAACAATCTAGGGAAAAATTAATGGTTTTTTAATTGCCAACAACAATCAAGTTTTTGATGGTGATCATTTTGACGAATTGTGTCAACACAAAAAAAAAAATTTGTTCACCAAAAATTCAGTTTACCAAAAGTTCAGAAACAAACCTTTGCAATATGCAATTTGCAATCTGCAGTTTGCAAAATTCAAAAATTGCAATCTGTAAATAATAAAATAGCAAATTGCAATTTGCATATTGCATAGTTTATAAAACGGACTGTAGAAGATTTCCTTGTTTGAAAAATATTTATATCGGACAAAAAATGTTCTATTCCAAAATTAGAATTTTTTTCACGCCTTTATTAATAATTGTTAATAATAATTGTTAATAATAATTGTTAATAATAATTGTTAAATAATTGTTAACGAGATATTTTAAAAAAAAACTTCATTTCGAATTTATTTTCACATATTAATTAGAAAAAACAAGCCTCAGGGAAATGTCACATGATTAATAAAAGATATATAACCTTAGCATCGGGTCGAATATGGTGCAGCGAATAACTGATAATCGATATCTCGTATAATTCCTGATGTTAATGCATGTGAAACTAACAAATCAGAATTTTGTATCCCAAATACTCCCTCAATTTTAAATTCCAAATTTGGATTAAACCTTAAAATTTTTAAAATCTAGAATGAAAATGACTTCTTACATATTCTATATTTCCAAATATTGTTTTAAACCATTTCATGCATACAAATTAAAATGCAGAATACTTTTGATTTTTTATAGCCGTGACTAATGATTTTTCAAGTTGCCTGAGCTGTGACCAGATTTCAACTGGTGAACCATTATAGCCTTAATATTACTGTAATTAGATATAGTTGTGACTAAATTCAAGATTTTCAAAAATGTCAAATTTTTTTATCAAAAAATTTGTAAATATACAATTTTATTATATGTTAAAGCATCAATTTAATTAACAAATTGATTTTGTTTACAATTCCTTTCATATATTTATACAAATTTTCTTTTAAGAAAATTAGATCTAGCAGATCATTAATATGTGTATTTTTTACTGGATGCTATGAACATTAAAATGCCATTATTCAAATTCTCTTTATGAGACTATTCTAATGTGCAGTGTTTTGTTAAATCTGGATCAGTGGTTTTCAAGATAAATAATTTGAAACTAGCTTTGAAACAATTAGTAAAGATTAATAATCAAATGTATATAGGAATTTCCTTTTTATATTATGATGAAGAGCCCAAAGTATTTTGACAATGTCATAAAGGGTTTACACAATTAAAATTGGCATAGTTTTGACCATTGAATTCACCAAACCAATTTGGCATGTATAATGAAGACAGGCTTTTTAAGTGATCTACATTTTATTCAATGATTCTTGAGTGTGTATATATTTAATTAATTAGTTATGGTTTATGGTTCTCCAACCAGCTAAAAAAATATTTTTTTTATACAGTACTAAAATTAAAACATTATATGATTGGTAATAATACTATTATATATAATGTACTGTATTTTTTCAAAACTTCAATTTGGTTGTAGATCTCTACCAACTGAAATTTTCTCATGTCCAAATAAGTTATCTCTGTTTGTTCTTCAAATCAATTATTTCACTTCTATTCATTTAAAATGGAAGAAGAGCATTCAATACTTATAATAGAGAAAGTAATAATACAATAATAAGAGGGATGAGTCTTCTTGAGGGTTCCTATTTTGTCAAATTTAGCCGCTAAATATTTGTGTACACCTGCAACGTCTACTCAAAGTGAACCTCAAACAAAACAAAACTCAATCCACTTTTATTGTTTTTTTGAAAAGAAACTAATAAATTTAAAATTTTCGTTAACAATGAACATTCATTAAATATTCATTGAATAATTAAAATTTAATGATAAAAAAATATTATAATTATTCTTGATGGGCACGACGACCTCTATGAATGAACAGATCAGATGGATAAATTATTTATTTTTTATCAATAAAAAAAATGAAAAATAAAATGAAAAATAAAAACAATTGAATGACGACAAACAAAAAGAACAAAGACAAAAGAAAAAGTCGAGAACGCAAACAGTTTGAATAGCGGTTGTTTACTTTTAGGCACACACTTCATGTAGATAATCATTGAAAATTGTTTATAATCGATTTTGATTACTTCATTTCAATTGGTTGGCAGTGTGACCTTTTCTATTATTGTGATTTGGATGAGACTGAGCTATTTATTATCACGAAATTTCTAACATCTTAATAGAACCAACAATGCCACACACGCACTGATAATTTTTCATTCATTAACACAACAATTAATCACACAAATCAATTGTTTATTAATAACACGCACACATGTTCTCCATCACGAACCTTCCCGTATTGTGTTGATGACAAATGTTGATAGTGAGCATACACAACATCATCAACACGCATTTATATTAATATCGTTAGTTTTGTAAGTAATTAAAGTTTTCAAAAGGTTTCGTGCAATATTATTTACAAAGTTTTAATTGTTAGAAAAAAGATAACTAAGCTTCTTTTTTCTTAATTATAAAAAAAAAAAAATCATTTAATCAATGGGGATTTTTGTTTGTTTTCTCCAAAAGGAAATTTTTCATTAATTAACGGGAAATTTACAAAAATAAAAT